TCTCAATTAAGGGATTGCACTTTGCAAAAAAACATAACCCTTGAACTCTCTGGTTGTGTATGTGTTGCCTCACCAAATTCATTACGGACCAACATGGAAATCAGAAGGTATTCCTTACTTGTGTACTGGTCAGATCATCCATCAAAAGAGAAAGATCAGCACCCCTTGGGACACTAATCCCAGTCTACATGGAATGAGGTGTACGTGAGTACACTATCTGTAGCCAGCTCCTGCACAGGATCCATATTCATTCACAACATGTCTGGAGTTTTATGTCCCAGATGAATCCTTCTCAGCTGACATTTGTAAGTCCTGCAGTAGGTGTCTGGCTAGCAGGCTTATCTCCCACAAGATAACTTCTTACCATTGAGGAACTTACCATGTTAGGGCATAAGCCTCTGCAACGAGGCTCTGACAAGAAGAAGCCATAGCAATGGTGACGGTAACTTATTACCTCTTTCCAAGGTATCCAGTTTCATAGATCTGAAGCTGGTGTCAATGAGCGTCATGAAGAAATGGCCGAGGAGCCCTGACTGTATACCTCTAGAGGGCTACAGAGCAGCAGAAGCTCTTTCCAGTCAATATTGATGTTCCCTTGTGTAAAGGTGTACATAAAGCAGCATGCAAGGAGAATGTGAGTCTGAGCGTGTGTGCTGGTTTTGGCCAGGGTAGAGTTAATTTCCTTCATAGTGGCCAGTAAGGGGCTATATTTCATATCTGCACTGGAAACAGTGTTGATAATTCAGGGATGTTTTTCATTGTTGCTGAGCAGCGCTTACATGCAGTCAAGGCCTTTTCTGCTTCTCACACCACTCCACTAGCAAGTAAGCTGGGGGGTGCACAAGAAGTTGGGAGGGCACACAGCTGGGACAGCTGACTGCAACTGACCAAAGGGTATTCCACACCATATGACATCATGCTCAGTAATAAAACTAGGGGGAGGTTGGTGGGGGACTGCTGCTTGAAGACTGGCATGGGCTTCCATTGGTTGGTTGGTGGTGAGCAGTTGTTTTCATTTGCTTCAGTTGTCTTTTTTGGGTTTTATTTCTCTCCCTTTATTATTTTCCTTCTAATTATTCATTATGATTGTTATAATTTTGATTATTATACTGTTTTTATCTCAAACCATGAGTTTTCTCACTTTTACCCTTCAGATTCTCTTCCCCATCCCACTGTGGAGGAGTGAGCGAGTAGCTGTCTGGTGCTTATGCCAGATGGGGTGTAACCATGACAACATATTAAAACATGCTCAGGTCTTAAAGAGCTGAGCACCTTTCATGTAAGTTATTGCAATGGATGTAGTCAGAGATCCAACAGCTGTAGTCTTAGGATATAGTGCTCAAACAGTCTAGAGTGGTCTTGTACGTAGACTTGTGGCTGGGAGTTATTACTGAGCCACAAGCCCCATATGTCATGACTGTGTGATATGGTTGATAGGCTGATGATCATGGAGCCCAAGGGACTCCTTGCAGGTGCCTTGGCTACATCTAGCAACTTGATCAATGAAAGGTGGAGGCTTGAGCACTGTGCTGTGTTCATCTGCATGGTGTAATTGGCACGCCTTTAAACTATCAGTCTCTTAAACAATGCCCTGCAGTGTGCCTGGGATAGGATGGGTTAAGGGCTGGTCCCAGAGAGTCTGGCAGCATGGCTGTAGGCTGTCATGCCACTTGCTTTCGGGTCAGAGAAGGGCCCTGACCTGTGTTAATTACTAGGAGAATAATCCTCCCACATGACTGCTGGTTCTGCTTGAATAGACAGCTGAAAGATGGGATACTCTTTTCATTTCAGGTTTTTACCTCCTGCAACTCACACTGCGAAGGCAAGGAGCCTGGAGAAGATATTTGTACGGGCCTTCTGGAGCCTTACACACATGTGCTTTATTCTGAGTCTGCTTTAGTTCTCCCTGGCAGTTAAGAGGAATGAGGGCCTGTGATAGGTACCAGGAGGGACATGGTTGCAGGAGAGAGAAAACTCAACTTGAAGCCTGCTCTTCATAGAAAGTCAACACAAGGGGGACAGAAGGGTTTAGCAGAGGAAAGGGATATTGCAAGAGCAGAGCTTGGACAATCTGTTTGGGCCTGTTTGGAAGAAAGGGACTAAGTATTGTCTCAAAGAGGAAATCTATCCCTCTCTGACTTTTCTCCAAGCTCCTAGCCCCTGCCCAGAGTCCTGCTGCCTTCCTACTGAATCACTCTCTTATTTATTATTATTATTTTAAAAGATATGCATTCAGGGATACCAGCCACCAGGCACTGATTTATTTCCTGTTTGATAGCTCTGTACAAACTAATGCATTTGAAGAGCCATGGGTGCTGGATTTGTATGTATAGCTGTACAGCAAGACTGAAAGACCACTTTCAATTGTTCTGCTGCCTTTTCTGGCAATCACTAGTTCTGCTACACAGTGAGGGAGACTGTGCATTTTTCTTAAATTTGCACAGCTATGATACTAGGATCAGCTTTGCCACAAGGCTTGGTCATTGCAACATCCTGACAAGACTAAGTCTTTTCAAAGTATAAGCAGTCATGAAACTTTTAAGTCAAATCCACTGGTACTGATAGCTTTTAGCTGTCTGCAATCTTCTGGCACCAGAGAATATTTTTTTCCTATCTAGTTTTGTACATAAAAGCATGTTCTCCAATTCATATTAGGAAGGCTAGGCTGAAAGTAGCTTGGCGTTGTGTACCCTTAGGCACACAGAGTCTTTATGTCAATCTTTTAACGAATAAAAAGCACTCTAGGCTCTGGATTTTGCACATAGGTACTACTGAGAGAGCACTTACTTCTAACCAATGATGTAGAGCTATAGTTTAGGTATGATGTCACCACAGAGGGACCTATAAACTGAGTCAGCTGTTTGGCAGATTTTCATCTATGTAAATCCCTCTGTAAACTAATTATATGGCCACAGCTTATAAATTTTACAAGAAAGCAATCTCCAGAATTGTTTTTCTTGTCAGCTGCAGATCTTGAAACTTAACTGTAGATATTGCAAAACTAATCACCATGGTTAGAGAGTTTAAAAACCGTACTGCATTGCATAGACATATACATTTCCAGTACTTATTTTCTTCTTTAAATACCACCTTAAGTTTTAGTCCATTCATTTTTAGTGTTTGCAAGTAGCATACACAGCCCCAAAAGCCTAAATAAAACCAGTCCACAATTAAACCCTTGGAAAATGTGAGCATAAACTCCAGCTAGAAGCCTCCAAATGAAATATTTATATGTACTAGATGTCTTGTATCAGGAGGTGGTTCTCTTGCTGTTATCAGAAGTCAGCCCTTTGCTCCCGGTGTCTGCTTCAAACACTTTCATCCCTGGCAGCATGAGGCTTGCTTCAAACATCCTGCTTGCTTGTCAGCAGGGTTGATGCACTATATTATAACAAGCATTCACCACAACTGTTGTTACCAGGCAGCATTTTTAGCTCTACAAGCACAAACCATGAGATTCTCTATCAACATGATCATTATTTATCCAAGGCTCTTCCAGCAAATTGAGCTTAACCAGTCTGCTTGGGGTAAAATACAGCAGCCTTTCTTTCATTGTTGCTCTTGTAGAGAAAGCAGCATCCTCCTCAATAGTGGTAGGATCTGGACAAGGAATAAGCCTCATAGCTGTTGCATCATCCTCCTGGTATGGCATTACCTTATAATCCAGTTCCTAACCTAGGACTGACTGGTAGGAATGCAGCCAATAGGTGTGAATTATTTTTGTTGTAGGTATATTTTAGTTGCACAATTGTGTCCTTAACGCTGTGTTTCCCTTAGCTGAGAGATTGGTTGCATTTAACTGGTTTGGTCAAAGCTGCTGCATCTTCCACAGGCAACTCTCAGACACTCCCTGGAATCAGTAACTCTCATTTTTGTAGAGAACAAAGGCAAGTCAACCCAGCTTTACTGTATGACAGAAATGGGGCATCTGAAGCTTTGGAAAAGTCTTGTGATATAAAATGGAGATCTGTGTATACTGTCTTTTTACATTAAGAAACTCTGCAGCAGATAGGTGTATACTAATTAGTTAACAAAAATCAGCAAAAACAACAATGGAATTTAAATATTCTGGCACAATGATTTTTTTTTTCTTAAAAAATAGAAATTAAATAGAGAGGTTGTGCCAAATCAATAAAATGGTCTCACACACCACTATTAACATGCCAATCCTCTCATCAAATCCTCCATCTCTCCTCCAGACCCAAAACAATCAAGTTAGCTTATCCACTTCAAAAGCTGATAAATAGATATCTGCTAAAATGTATACTGCATTCTGATAAGGTTCTCAAATATTGGCTTTAGTTCATTTTGATAATTGTTCAAAGAACAGTCCTTCTAAATGGAAAGGCAATGGGGGATGGGGGCAAGAAATTGAAGTGTTGGCTGGGATTCTGCTTTTTAGTCAATAGGGAGTTTTCTAATTATGAGGAAGGTATTATGCTTACCATTGCTACCTTAAATGAGACACCTGACATTTAGATGACTATCTATCTCCAGGTATTTGCTATAAACTTGGTAGGTACCTCAGCATTTCTGAAGGGCAATTTATCCCACCTGTTTTGTTCTGCTATGCAGGGAGTGTAGATATCTAACCTCCAATGCCTAAAATAAGATTAAATTAGTACCATTTCATCAGATATTGAGATACCCAAAATGCCTCTCATCAGATCTTTGCTTTCTGTGAGGTCTGTTATACAAGACTATTGCCTGTTCCAAGGATCTTAAATATCCTTTAAAGGCTTTGATTTTTCACTTCTGCTGATCAAAGTATCTTCAGTAGCTTCCCTTTATGTACTGACAATCAAAAGAGGTGCAAAACACATTCTGTAACCTCTGATCTATTTCCTGAGACCTCAAGAAACACAAACACCCAGGCATGCATAATTTTTGGCATATACATAGTACATAAGAGAGGACTTTTTAAAATAGTTGTTTGTTCCCAATGATAATGTGAATGTTTTGACAAAAAGTTCACTGCAATGAAAAACCATCACTGAATTCTTTGCATATTTTATTTTTCTTTTTTGATTTCCAACTCACACACATCTGGCATATTTTACATCTTTGCAATAAAACATGGTTACAATAGCTTAAGGAATTTATATATCCAAAATATTTCACCATGATCTCAAGATGAAATGAACTTGTCTTCCAGATGTTCAATAGTCTCCCAATTCTAAGCTACAAACTCAAGATATTGCTTACAGACGGGTGATGAATAACTTAATCATTACATGGATCCCCATGATTTCAGAATCTTATAAATACAAACAACAATGAAGAAGGAAATTCAGTGCTAAACTTGCTAATACAAGGTGGATAACGAATAAGTAATCACATCAATAAATAATGATATGTTTCTGGTGCAAAGTGCCAATACAAAGAATCCATTATCTTTTTAAATAAATGACTGCAAGTGAGTGTAAATTCTGAGAAAATTACATTCCTGTTACATGCCTCATAGCCCTACCGACACAATATGTACATCTATGACAATACAGTCACCAAATATACAAAGAAGAAACATGAATTAAAGTGTATATACCCCTGGGTGTGTAATTTGATCAGTACAATGTGCAGAAAATTATTCCGATAATTATCATTACAGTATTGTAAAACACGAAGTGTCTTAGTCTGAGTGGCTTCAGGTGAGATTTTCAGAAGAACTGAAAAGAATAACCTCAGTCACCTTTACAATGAAGCTAAGGCTGTCAAATAAATCAAGCTGTTCAGACGAAAAATAAGGAAAAAAAATCACTGGGGGCTTTCTCACCCATGGTTTGTATGACAAATGCTAATAATCCAGAAGTATAGCACTTTGTCTGTATTGGGAGTCATTAAGCATTACAAAGCATTAAACTGAACTTTCCTCTTTGCTCCCTTTCTGTTCAGTCATTGAATTTAAAAGGGAGGAATTTAATTTCTATTGTATAAAGTATAAATACGGCAAATGATGGCTTTTTATCCAAATACTTCATGAGCAGAACTCCACTTAAGAGGGGTAAAGTTTAGATTCAAAAAGTGAAAAACGCATTGGTGGAAATGTCAAAATTACTGTTTGCACCCAAATTCAAACCTTTAACACAAGCTGTACCCTTAGGCAGATCTCCAGTTTGATTTGTGTGAACGCATCTATTCCTTCGAGACATCAGGTTTAAAGTACATGCAAGTTGTAACTCCACAATAAAATTAAGAAACAGTTTTGTTCTTTATACAAGGTTTTACTTTTACAAAAGTATCCCTTTAAAGTTAAGATGTGCATCTGATGTACAAAGTATCAAACGTATATTTTTTTTCTCAGCTTGAAAAGAGGCTGGAGATGGGATGCATGTTAGGTTCAAAGCCTAAACATTGAAACAACTGGACACAAGGTTCCCCAGAATTTTCAAAAGTCTCTTGTGGCGCATCCTACTACCTTTTCTCAATAAACAAAGATATATGAAATAATTACCAAAACATCTCCTAATTCATATAATTTACATGATACAAGCTTGCTTTTCAGCAGCTGGTGTTCAGTTGTGAAAAAACACACAAAGTAAAATGGTTGCTGACTACAATGTACAGCTATTGCTGGGTGTAATGGAATGTACAACGGAGGTCAATGCAGACATGGTTTTCCATCAGAGACTACACCTTTCATTGCAGCACTTGTGCTCTCAGTTTTACCTGGGCTTTCAGTTCTTCGTTCCACTTCAGTATCTGTTCTGATGTTCATAATGCCACCGGTTAAAATCTATATTAAAGGCTACGATACTGCCAGAAGCCATGCCAGTAATCAGAGTTCTGAAAAAGATAGAAAAGATCATCCTGTTAATCCTCTTTTATCTTCTCAAATTATGGTTTACCATAAACAGTAAAAAAGCTAAAAGAACCAGGCACTTTATGCAACACTCTATGAAAATTATGCTCATGGGTAGGATTCAGTACATGATGGAGACACTACATTTAGATGTCTACATATGAGCCAAATTCCCATGTTCCCATTATGGTCAAGGGAGATCTAGAACTCCAGTCAGATGCCTTCACATTGGTAAAAGCCCCATGCCGTTTGAGCTGCTCTTGTGTATCCTGCTTTGCCTCCAGCAGCCTCTCCAGCAGGATGTGGGTCTTCACTACAACCTCTATCATATGTGTGACCCCATGTACGTACCTCAGATCTTCCAGGTATCTCAAACAGTACTAGCTGGCTATGGATACCCTAATCAGTCCTCTCGGTGCAGCCTGTGACCAACTCTCTACAGGTCACTGGGCATGTACTTTAGGGTGAGCTTAACTGTCCTCTTACTAGAGCCTGTAGCAAGTAAATCTCTACAGTTATTACAAGATCTTATTCCCATAGCTCACATGCAGATACCTATGCCAAAACACTTTCATTCAAGTGTTCGAGGAATCAACACATCTGCTTAATTTTAGGCACTTCATGCCATTGGACACATCTGGGACACAGGATCTGTGGAGAGCTCTGCCATTGGGGCTGTAGCTGGGGTCAGCTCGATTTCCTAGGGCCTCCCAGACAGAATGAGATTTCTCTGCGAAGACAACTGAACTGATCCCTTAATCATAAGCTGATCGCACCTTACTACTCCTAAAAATGTTGAAATATTGTTGAAATATTGAAATGTAGCCCCATTACTCTGGTGGCAATAGTTAAGGTGATTTTCCAGTTATCACATACTCTCTAATTCTGTTAGATGAGTTGTAAAATTGGACTAGATATCCATCACCACTTCTATCAAACCATACAACAGCCATTGTCTGTTTAATTATGTGAGTAAAGCTAAGTATCTACACTCTGCATTTTAGTGCCACAGCAGTGACTGCAAATATCTAGGCTTGTCCGCTGCATGTCCATTGCTCAAGAAGGTCAAAGAAAAGGACCACACTAATTCCTGGTGGATAGATCCACTGATAATACTACACATGATAGTCTAGATGCAACCCCAAGAAGTTCTCAAGCTCTGCATAGCTGAAAATCAGAAATGTACCACAAACTTTAGTAATTTTTTTTAAGGCATTGGTTAACAGGCACTAGTGCAGTCCAATCCAGTCCATAGTCCAATCTATGTTCTTAAGTTAATGTAATTTTACTCATATTTTGCTAGCTGAGTCTCTGGCTTATTGACATCAGTAAGATCTCATCTCGGTGTTAAGTGTTTGCATTACGAGACTTAAAAATTAGAAAATATGCTGAATCAGATAAATCAACAAGATAACAACTGGAGTATATGGTTTTGTACATATATCCTGTTAACGAGTGCATACCATAAATTCACACCTTAAAGTTCATGGAGATGTGTATTTTGTGCAATTTTATTTACACACAAATATTCACGACAAAATCACCTCTGATCGTGAGACAGATCCATAGCTCTTATGCCAGCATCACAGCCAGGGTAAATATAGAGCTGCTTGAAGTCACAGGCCTGCCATACTTCCACTACACCATTGTCTCCCCCTGTCACCAGGTTCTGCCCATCACTGCTCAGGAGGATGGCCTTCAGGAGGAAAACACAAAAACCAAGCACACAGCTTTTATGGAAACCAGTCATTACTACAAAAGATGTAATCAACTTACAAGCATTTCTTTTGCTCTGCCCACTTAAATTTGGAGAAAAAGGCTCCCACTCCTCTTTCTCCCCAATCAAAAAATAAAACAACAACTTATGGATCTCCAAATTTTAAATAAAACAATTGTGTGGTTCTAAGCATGATATATAACCAAAAAGCTCTTTAACTGAATCTGCCAAGATGAGTTCAGGACATAACATTTCAATGTTTGTCCTACAGTACTTGGTGCCATCACTAACACTTAAAGCAGAGCAGCGATCTGCATTCCTAATGCTGCTTCAAGTGCTAGTGACAGAGCAGAGCCCTGAAGGCACAAATTCATGTCTTAGCTAATAAATGAAGAATGGACTCTTTTCAGAATATTTTCTTTTAAAGACGTATTTCCCACTGAAATTTAATTCCAAATAAAAATTCCAAGAATCGTGTAGGTTCATAAACAATTTGGTCTTATTTATTCTGGAAAAGCTCAAGTACATTTTTGCATTTGGAGACGGAGATGAGAGGATTTGTGTTTGAATATGACTTAACCAGGAGGTGGCAATTTTACACATGTGATTTCCTTTAAACCACACAGCAAATAAATTCAATTTATTTTAATAAATAAAGGCAAGACACAACAAACATTTGTTTACATTTGTATTTACCCTGGTTGAATCATTGATCTCCATCTGAGCTAAGAGTTTGCCATTAATGCTGAAATTGAAAACCTCGTTCATAGTAGATGATGCAGTGACCTTCACTAGATACTGAAATTAAGCGAGGATACAAGCAGTTTTCTGTTCCTTCCAGGGCTCTCAGCAAATCTCCAGTAATTGTGTGTACCAGACAAGGACCTTCTGTATATGAAAACATAATATATCATACATTTGCTGCTTATACAAACTATATATGCTGTGCACAAAGGCAATGCATAATACACATTTATATCACATTAGTCCTGCATAGATATAAGATGCACTATTTGCTTAAAGAATTTAAAATATGCAACAGAAAAGGAAATGCAAGAGCTAGTATATTAAGAAAATATATATATAATATGCCTAAAAATGGTAGTTTATTATTTACTTAAACTGGTAGGAGCTTTAATTGATCTATCTTCTAAAATATTTTCTCCTCTTTCCAAGAATTCAGAAGCCTCAGTCTTACTGCCTTCCTCCAACAACATGAACTCTCTTTAGCCTGCCCTCTCACATTAAACAGACGGGGTCCTATCAGGGACTAGTAGGAGCAACTCCCAGAGGGCATTTAATCATATCACTGCATATTTCTCCTACAGACAATGGCAGTTCCTGTAAGTCCTCTCCCCCAAAGAATGTTATACGCATAGATTTCAGTCCTGAATTGTTTTAACAATGGGCGTCATCTGACAGCCAACAGAGCTGCTATGATGTCTGGACTATGAGAGCTGTTTGGAGATCACACTATAACTCCATTTACTCCAGGAAGAGTTTAATATGAGATTTTAATGTCTGGTTATTACCGCTGTTGAAACAAACAAACAAAAAAAAACCAGCTAGAAAACCTACAACGAACATTTTAAGATGCAAAACCAGGCTGTTTCCATTTCAAGATTTATGAGAAAAGCTCTTTTGAAAGTGAGATCTGTATTCCTACTAAGAAAAAGAATCTCTTCTGTGATAAACGTAATGAGTCATGGTAAATAATAAATATTTTCTTTTATGATCCACAGGATGCTCCTGGATGCACAGTAATCTCTTCCTTATACAACTGGCTCATGATCCTGAAAGTAAATTCATACTGGCAGACTCAGCCACCTCACGTTAAGCCCTTCTAACTTCTTTGAAATTCACACAGCAGCTGGGTTTGCCCATGTAGAATGAATCATAGCATCAGTGCATTTGTGTGCAAGCTCTCTGGTACAGGTTTTGTCTGTGTTTGCATAAAGCCTTAGGCAGAGAGTCCCCACGCCTGACTGGGCCCATGGAATATGACTGCAATGGAATTGATTTTTTTTCTCAAATAGCTGAGTTTCAGCTTTGGACATACTGAAGTGCCAGAATGTTGTAAGAAGTGATGCCTCCACCTTTAGAATAATTACCATGTTGGATCTTTCAAAAGGAAAGTGTAATACTTCCATATTTAAGTGGACTGACAAACTGCCAGCAGCAGGTTCTCTGGCATGCTACGTGTTGTCGCAGTGCCACAGCCAGCTCCGGAGCCATGGGGGAGCACAGGCAGCGCTCAGGCAGGGCAGCAGAACAACACAGCACTGCCATGAAATGCAATCTAAGAGTCTAGAAAGGGACTGAAAAGGACAGAAACTGAAGAAGAAGTTTTAAAACAGGCATCTCCTGGAAAATGGCAATTATGATTTTTCTCTCTGCATTGATATATGGACTAGGGTTTGAAGAAAAAGAACATGAAAAGAGTAACTCAGGTGACAGACTGACCCTCCATTTCTCACCGTCAATTACAAACATATTCTGGATTTGTTGTAAAAGTCTTTGGTCCTCCAGTAGCCTTTATCTCTAAAAACATATAAGTTACCAAAGCATCATATACTTAATGAAGCAGAAGATAACTGAGCACAGATTCCAGATATTTTGTTAAGAGGAAATTTGCAAAAAGATATTTGGAAAGGGTACACTATTATGGCAGTAAATGTGTATAAAACTGCCTTAAAAGACGAGAAATAGCAGTGCTGCAAGAAAAAAACCTTAGGTTCAGCATCACTGTACATTTTTTTCATAAATGTTGTGACTTCACCTACGACGGTTATGTAGTATGTCATTACTAGAGTTAATGACCCATTAAGATTTCCTGTTAAAAATGCCTTTACTCAAAAGTTTCAACACTCAGCTTTGAAAATAAATGTTGAGCCCTGAGGCAGTAGAAAAGACAATAACCTGGGAGCTTATCTGTGAGCAAAAGTGGGCAGAACGAGCCTCATGTCCTTGTTATCCTCAGAATAAGCAAAGTTTTTTAAAAGGAGTAGAAGGATATCCATGAGGATGAATCGCTATAGACAAAGAAAGCAAGTGGCTGGATGTGGATGTAGAAGTGGAGTGTAAATGAGATAGGAAGGGATATAAGGAGGAAGAAACTTAGGGAAACACAAGTGTAATGTAAAGAAAGGAAATAAGAAGGGAGAAGAGATAATGTAGCATAAAGGAAAGTAACAGAGGGACCTTGACAGGCTTGAGAGGT